GAAAGTCCGATATTTATGAAACAAAACATAAAATCTTGTCAGAAATTTCAATCAAAGAAAAAGGACTTTCTTTCACTAAAATATTACGTAGTTTTACTACAAAAATCAATAAATGTATCAAGTGCCTCCTCAAACCAGGAAAAGGATCCTGCCTGCGAGGATCCTTTTCCTAGGGATCCTAGTGATCTTGCAATCGTGTCCATTCATCGTACATCGTACGGTGAGAAATCATTTAAAATATAAATATAAATATAAATAGTACCTAACGAAAATTAACTGCACGATTTATGATGAACAGACACAATTGCAGGATCGCTAGAAAAAGGATCTAGCAATGATCATTTTTCCTATTAGATTTTGTGCTAAAAAATATTAGTCAAAGATTTAAAGAAAATCCCCCTTTCTGGGTTGCCTTACTTTGATCCTTAATGTATTTTCATTCCGAGTTATTAGTTCTCAAATTTTTAAAAATGTGTTTAATAAGGACAAAATGACAAGAGTACACTGTGCTCAGCACAGTCCCGATTAAAAGTTGTTAAGTGTGTTTAAAAGTGATATACTTGGACCACTTAGGAGTGGTTTGGGAGTGAGGTGCTTAAAAAAAAAGCACCCATGAAAAAAAGCTGTAAGGGTTTTAGGTGTTTGGTAAACAAAAAAAAAAGGCTTATTTTGGAAGCTGCTGTGAGAATAAGCTAAAATCAAAGGAAAAAGTTGAAGCTGCTATTTGCAGCTTTGGAAAATTGGCTTATTTTTTTCAAAGCACACGGAGCTATAATGCTCCTTTAATGAAAAGACCCACTATCAGACTGTTTTTTTTTTTCTTCCAAAAGTACTTTTACAAAAAAGTTTACCAAACACTCTGCTGATTTATTTCACAGCCGCTTATTCTCACAGTACAGCCGCTTATTCTCACAGCAGCTTTTTTTCAAAGCACAGCAATATCAAACCAACCCTTAATATTAGGCTTTTTAGCCAAAAAGTTCATGAGATTTGCATAATATATCACTTTGGACCCTGAGATTTGAAACTAATATAAATGGTTCTTGAGATTGCCTACCATCAATCATTTTGGTCATTCCGTGCAAAATTATGTTAAATAATGATCAAAATGACAAATATGCCCTCAATTTAATAAACAGTAGGCTAAAATGATTTGACAAAAATTAAGGATATTTTGGTCATTCTATTTGTAATTTAATGGAGATTTTTCAAGGAATGACCAAAATGATTGATGGTGAACAAACTCAATGACCAATTCTATTGATTTCAAATCTTAGGGACCAAAGTGAGGAGTTATGCAAATCTCATTGACCATTTTGGTTAAAAAGCCTTAATATTATGGTTTAGTGGTCTTCCTCTTCACTTGTAAATGAGAAGTTTTAGGTTCGATTATCGCTAATGAGGAATTTAAACCACATTATTATGGCTAATCCAGTATGAGATTTTGCCTACTCCCCGACACCTGATACTAGTTGGCTTGAATTTTGAGGAAACTCCACATTTCATCAACCTATCAATTGCTCATATTAGCAACCAAATTGTATTAATTGGTGTTGAGCTCTTCTGAAGTAAATTGGTTGCAAAATCATGAATTGTTATTGAGCTCTTTTTTTCTTCTTCTTAAGATTATGATTTTAAAGAGACGGAAAATAGGGAACTGGAAAAAGGAGGAAATGAAATGGAAGGGCGTAATCATGGTATAAAATATAGATGATATCGGAAATATCGGTAGTCTAAAAACATGGAAATTTCAATGGAAATATCGGAATATTATCGATATCGATAAAAATTGAATAAAAACCATGGAAATTGTAAGAAAAACTTGGAAATTTTTATTGAAACTTTGGAGAATGTTTATTTAGTCAATTATCTATTAGTTTATCAAAAAAAATTAGAAGTAAATGTATTACATGATGGATTTAACTGATTTAAGTTGATTATATAGCAAGCTGACAAACACTGTAAGTGTAGAAAATATGTAGTAATTAATAAAAAAAAGATTAAACACACCATAATCATTTATATATAATGATTTACTACAATATTTTACACTTTATACATTGCATGGTAAGATACATGAGTGATTTAGTACCACATAAAATTCCTATGAGGTTCAAATTTTTCATTATCTTCATCATCTCTATGTGTAGAGTAAGTTTATTGTGAAGAATATTCATCAAATGATAAATCCCCAAAATACTTTTGCATGTAATTGTTAACATGTCACTCATATAAATATAAATATTTTAGCATATTACCACTAAAGCATAAGTGATATATCGTGGTTAAGGTGCTAGAGGAATAAAATGGGAGGGGTTCAAATCCCCTTTTTTTTTTTTCCTTCCTTTACATGGATATGTTCCGAAATATCCGTGATTCGAAAAAACCAAAACATCCTCGATATTTCGTCAATATTATCGATATTTCAGACTATGCCCGTAATAATAATATTTGCACAACATACTTACATCATGGCTTTGCTTTCTTCTTTAGATCTACTCCAACTTTCGAGTAAAACTCATATTTTAGTTTTTAAATCTACCCTAATCTTGATATACTGCCGTACCCATCATTTCTCTACTACCTTTCTTCATTCTTCACGTGGGATGTACCTCCCTCATTTTCTATTATTTCTTTCCTTTCCCCCTTTCACTTCGGCACTTTCGCTCACCTTTTTATTTTTTTTGGGTTCTGAAGGTTCTGGTCATTCCTCTCCTCATTCCTCTCTTCTCTGCATGGAAAATGGAAGTGTATGGAGATGTGTTTGAATGTATGGATGAAATCGAATGGAGTTCACGGCAAGGGACTTGTGTTTGTGAATGAAGCTCTTTTTTTTTTATGGATCAAGAATTTCCTTAGGAAGGGGAATGGTGGATGTATTTATAGGCTAAGGAGAGGACCACTTCAATTCCTTGCATATGCAGTTTGTATGGGTGTATGATGTCCATGTTTCCCCTTACATTTGCACACACATGACCTCCATTATTTCAGCCACAAAACAAACACATTTTCTGCCATGTTTCTCCTTTACATTTACACACATGTTCTTCATCATTTCAGCCACAAATCAACCCATTTTTTGCCCATATGTGTGTCTTTCCTTTGCTCATGTGTGTGTGTTTCCTTTGTCCATGTGTGTGTGTTTTTCCTTTGCATTTGCACACACATGTTCTTCATTATTTCAGCCAACAATCCACCCATTTTCTACCCATGCCAAGCCCTCCATGCCGTGCCTTTCTTGTTGTGTGTGTGCTGTCCATGTGGAGTGTGTGTATGCCCTCCAACCTGTGTAGTTTGCATGTGTGTAGCTATCCATGTTTCTCTTTTGCATGTGCCGTGCCTTCTCTTTCTAGCTGTGCATTTCCACTTGCTCCAAAGCCAAATGAGTGCAATCATAACCCTATTTGTTGTTGAGTGTTGATGACAAAGAAAAACACAAAACAAGTGCCTTTACTTTCTCATTTTATTAGCCAAATCTGCTTAGCCCTTTTCTGAACCTTTCAGTGTTAAAATGCCCATAACTTCTTCTAGAAAAATGATATTAACAATCCGTAAATTGCTCCAGAAAATAGACATCCGTAGCTTTCCAAGAATATAAGGCTCATTCTCTTATTCATTCTGAGCTGTTCGTAACATGCTTCCAAAGTCAGCTAATCTGCACATGCAGTTTTGACGAATTTGTTACTTAATATCTCACTTGTGCTACTTTTCTTTTCTTTGCTTGATAAATCACACTAAACACAAAAACATAGTAAATAGCTCAAAAATATAAGGAACTAACTAAGAAAAGACAAGTGAATTTTATGTAAAATATATATAAATATGAGCTTATCAACAGGGTCTAGGAACAGAGCCTGATTTCCCTATTGTTTTTTTTTTTCCCGATTTTGTTAGGGTTTAAGAAACGAAATTTGCTTCTAATTTGATTTTATACTTTTGACTCACATTTTTCACATAGCAAATATAATTGCGCAATGCATGAAACAAATGTATATATATTGACAATTATATAAACGTATACAATAATACAATATATATATATATATATATATATATATATATCCTAAGGAAAATATAAACGTAGGGGGTTCATGCATCATGGGAAATGTTTTCATACTTCATGGTCGTTTCAAATATCTTCCTTTATTTTAAGCGTACCTGATTGGCAGAAAACAAATAAAAACCTTTGAATTTGTAGAAGATCCTTATCGGAAAGCCGGAATTGCATCTCCAATGCGTTGTATCACGTTCAACACAAAAAAAAAAAAATTGAATCAATAGCATGTAGATCAATTCAATAAAATAATTAATTAATCATAAAAAGAATGATTAAAACGTAATACTCCCCTAATTGAATATCAAACTTTTGTTAGCGCAGCGTCAAGAGTATGCTGATAACATGTTGTAGGCATAATTTATTGAACAATTATGGTGGCCATAGAGGGAGGGAAGGTGCGGCAATAGTATAAAGAAGAGAGAGATGTGTAATTGTGGGTATGTGTTATTCCACCCCATTGTGCCTTTATTTATAGTAGTAGAGAAAGTTAATTCCTTACCCTTTTTGGATTACAATTGACTGCAACAAGTTGGTCTTAGTAAAATATGAGAAAATACCATTTGGTTTGCTGTTTATCACAATTGTTTCTGAAAATTTAAAACAAAAAAAAACTTACATGACACCACTATAGCTGGTGTGCTAATTAGTATAACGCTACGTAGATACAAATTTACATATATTTATGTTACAAGTACAAAAATCACAATACTAATGTAATGTAACGGTGGGATATGAGTTCTTAAAAAGGAAAACTAATGAAAAGGGCTTGAAAACTTTGAGTTTTAATGATAAGGACAAAATAAAGGGTAAAGTGAATAGTACCAAGTTTGACTTTTTAGTGTAAAAATGTGGTTTTTCGTTAAAATGAACAGTACCATGGGCTTTTCGTTAAAACTCCCTTCTTAAAACCTTGTATGTAGTTCTGCTTTAAGCGCGTAAGCTTACACTGACAGCCAAACACACCATAAGCGTCTCTCACTCTGTTGTGTGCAACTTAAAACCCAACAGTACTCTGAACTCCGCAGACAAACAACACTATGGAGGAAGAACCAAAGCCAGCCGAGTCCACAGCCACCGAAATCCTCCCAATCCCTCCGAGCTCCGCCGAAGTCCTCCCTCCACAGGCTCCTCCGTCTTCTCTTCCTCCCAAGTCCAAGAAGAGACCTCTTGAAAACGATGCTCATTTCTCCAACTCATCCACCCTCTACAAGATTCGCGCCGTCCTCAAAGAGGTCCGCCCTCATTTTCTCGAGGTACAGTTGAAAACCCATATTCCAAAATTTGCATTTTGATGAGAATCTCTTGAAATTTTGAAGATTTTTGTGATCTGGGTTTTCCTTTTATTGTTTTTTTTTTATTTTTTTTATTTTTTATCAGAGGGTTTTCTTTTTATTGAATTGTGGATTTTGGGTTTGTTTGGATTCATAATTTGCATGTCTTTAACATTTCTAAAGATTTCATTTTTCTTAAAATATTAAATAAATGTATAATCTTTGTAACTCTGCTGCCTTGTACTTACATTTTAGGTAGGGATGGTTCGGTATGGGATACCAAACCAAAACTTTAGTCCTGATTCTCAAATCGAAATTTTTGGTATTCCCAATTTCAAGACCGATCCTAAACCAAAATTTCGGGAATTCCAATTTTCGAGAATCCTGAAATGGTTTCGGTATTTTGGGACAATCTGGAAGCCCGAAATATTTTTGGACTTTTGGTGATTCTGTATTCCCAATTCCTATAGTTGTTATATTTTCATTGAAATAATCAGGTACATACTTTAAACATTACTGTGCTTCTTGTTTTCCTTCGTTTCGTGATTGTTCTTCCATTACTAGTTTCAACTTCATACTCCCGATGAGTTACCTGGCATGAAGTTGAGGAGGTAGAAGGAATAATGCATGAATTGATCAAACGATATCGGTAGGCAACATTAAACTCTTAAACAACCACCAGTGCAACCGCGGATAAGTTTTATATGATATCTTCTTTTTTAGTACTGAGATGCATTTATAAGTTTATAACCTATAAAACAGAGTTGTTTTACCATTTAAGAATACACTAGAAGGCAAACCTATTACAGAAGTTATATACCTTTTTGTGATTATGTGGAATACTCATTATACTTCCGGTGTTTATGTTCTCTACTTTCTTCAACACCTTTAACACTGGTGTTTGTGTTACTTCCAGGAAAGGTGACTCCTATGAATGAAATAGAATGACACATAAGACATATCATAATCCTTCATATCTTTATGTTGCAGGGATGAAAAATAAAGTAACATGATTTTTTCATTATTGTGCCAACATGATTTATATATATTATTATCTGTGTGTGTGTATACACACATATATATATAAAATAATTAAAAATATATATTTCGGTTCGGTATGGGAATACCGAAATATTGGGAAGACAATCCCGATTCCCATACCGAAATTTCGGTATTTTTTCGGGATAGCATACCGAAAATTTTGGGAAAATCGGTTTGGGATCGGTATTCTTTTCGTTTGGTTCGAGATTTTTGGGAATTTTTTCCACCCCTAATTTTAGGTGCCCTTAGTGGCTCTGCATTTAAAAATTGTGTAAATAACGTTTTTGATGGAAATGGCTGTTAGTAATGAATCTAATGATTGAGTTGTTTAATATTTTCGGTGCAGAATTGTAATATTTGAACTATTAGTAATCATTTTTGGGATAAGGTGAAGAATGAAGGCAAGTGATTTATGCTTTCAAGTGAATTGAGGTGTTTCTAATTTGTACTAAGTGAAGCTGTCAAAATTAGTGTTTATATGCTACATTTCAGATAGTGTTCGATTAACTGAGGCTGCAGACCAAGTGTAATGTGTTGAATGCATGCTATATCGTTATGTAATCTGTATGCCAATGTAATCACTTGGTTTGCAGATTTCGTCTATCAAGGTTGTCAATGTAATCACTCTCAGTCAATTTCTCTAAATCCTGCTGTTTTGAACTGCTTCGTTTGTTTGCTACATTATATGAAGTATGCATGGAGTAACTTCTTTTTTTTTGGTCATCTTGAAGGTCCTCGGGACCCCTGACTTTCGAACGTGCAAGTCATCTGAAGAAATTCAAGAATGTAAGCTCATTAGGATTTTGTTTCCATCTTTTCACAGACAAATGGTTATCCCTTGAGTTGTATGCTAAAGCTGAGCTGATTTGTTAATCTTAAAATAAGTGGTTTATTAATGCGGTGGTTATGATGACATCCGACCTTCATTCGTGTGCTTGGTTTATTAATCTTTGTGTAAATGATTATATCGAGTTTCACCCTTGAAACTCAGTCTGTGATAGTTTTATTGGTGGCAGCCTAATCCTAGAATACTATTAGTGGCGTTCGGTTGGCCTTTTGCTTTCTTTACGAGCAGATATCTAACTCACTCATCTTCTTATATTGACGCATGGTTTTGTCCTTAGTTTCTTGAGCACCATATCTTCCTTTGCTCCAGTTTTTGGATTCCTTTGGACACTTTAGAGTTCAAGGCTTTGTATGATGGTGCCAATTGCATGAGATGTTGCTTAATGATCATGAGATGTGCTAATTATCGCTTTGTTGCAAATTTCAGATGTTAAACTTCTGATGGAACTATGCAAACAGATGACGGCAGAAACAGTTTCGGCAACAAGAAGTAAGAATGTGCCAGGTGAAAAGCCCCAAGATACAAGGGCTTTTGCAAAGCCATCAGAAAATAAGTTTCCAACAGGTGTATCCACTGAAAAGCAGCGGGCTGAAGATGGTCAGACTCAAGGGACATATATTGTTGGTGGGTCTGCGTTCGGCTGGAATTTCATTACCTTTGTAGGCGAAGAACCAGTCTACTACGGAATAACAAAGGAGTCATTTCGAGCTAATGGCAGCAAAGAAACAGTTCAGACTATGGAATAAAAAAGGGAGTCATTTTGAGTTAAAGGCAGCAAGAAACAGTTATGTAATCCTACCATTAGCATATTGACTGGGTGCTGGCAAAAACTTTTAATCCAACCCCATGGTCCCCATCATAGAGAAGAAAGGGGGATTTGATGGATGGTTTGATCAATTCAAAAGGATGTAATGTTTTCATTAGAATGGGTTATTCAGCATGATTCTTCAAAAAGGATCAGTGGACATATTGTAACATTGCGATCGGTTTAGTATGTGATATTTTCGATGAATTTCTTTGGAAGAAATTGGAAAAAAAATGGATGGTGACGGGCTGTCTGAGAAGTATCTTCGCTGGAGATACGATACTATTATCTTGCCATCAGACAAGTGATCTGCAAGGACATCAACTGAAAACAGTTGCCGGGTGTCAAGCGCGCATGCAGCAGGCTCAGGTGCAAACCTAGACCAAGGTGAGCCTTCTGCTGCCATGTTTCTTTCCATTGCAGCTCCAGTTGCAGAAGAGTCTATTAACAATCAACAATGAGCCCCAAAATTTGGATATTCCTCTCTCTAAACATATGCTTTTGCACAAGGGTGATTCTGTGGACTCCCGACTATGAAGACAAAAGCATTTATGAACATATGTTTAGAGAACGGTTTATGAACGTGTAGCCAAGTTGGCTAAAGCAATATGCTCCCCTTGAACATGCCCCCAAAGTCGAATCCCACTCCCCATTGTTTAGATTAGATTAGAATATTGCACGAATTAGAAACGCTAGATGTAGCCCCAAACTCAAGCCCCACGATTATGCACCAAGCACTTGTTCAAATAATATTTATCTTTTTTACCATAACATTCCACCTACTAAAGCATGCACCGACTATCTCGCTTTCAAAGGGACTAACTTTCATCCCAGGTTCATTGCATTACTTTTGAAAGTTGTGGTTTTGATATACAATGACAAAATAAAAGGTAAAATGAATAGTATCAAAACAGATTTTTTAATGTAAAAATGTGGATTTTCATTAAAGTGAACATCACAGAAAGCTTTTCGTTAAAGTTCCTTATTTTTATAGGTTAGATGGGCTCTCCACTAGGATTTCAATACCTTGGTGCATCGGAAAGTCAATTTATGAATCATGGTGTCTAGTGGAATTATTGTATGGTTAATAATTGATGTACTTATCAAACGTGATTTTCATATTGAATTTGTTAGGCTATGATAATGAGTATATATAACAAATGGTTATATTTTGAGAGGCCAGACAAGCATAAATACAGTTGTTTTGTTGTACGTACATGCTTATTATTAGTTTGGTTGTGGTTCTTGTTTTGATTTATTTGCCCTAAGTTATTGTGTTTCTTGGTCTTAATTTGACGCTAACGAACATGGTTTCAAAGTAACAAAATAACTGATGAACGACTGAAAATGCAGGATTTTATATAATAAATGCAAGCAACTAAAGAAAATAGGATCGGATATTACAACGCAGGTATACATGTAGAAAAACCAGATGGTCGCTGGCCGAATCTAATCTTGTCAAGATTTGGTTTTTAACGAAGATATTGAAAGACCGGTGCTGGGATGTTCTTAGGGTTAATGTATCAAATCTTGATTGAACTATATGTCTGCTTTTCTCTTTGTAGCTTTGATTAATAAGTTTCTGCAAGTTTCTCAAGAAAATTTAATAATAAAATGATAACACTAAGTAAAAGGGGATTAAAGGGACCTAATTAAATTAACCCCTCAAAGATAATCTGAATAACATCATTGCAAAAACAAACACGCCCCTAAATCAAGCACAACACTTTCACCAAATCATAACTTCTAATTGCACTCTTCTATCTCCTTCTCCGGCTGAAGGGGAGCATGGCTTGCGAACGGTAGATGCACGAGCTGAAAATATTGAGAAAAACCACAGCATATATTAGTTACAAATTCAAAGACAATTAGACAGACCAAATTCATATTAATCATGATAGCAATGATGCCATATCATCACACTATAGTTATGTGGAAGAGTACTTACAATTTACCCATAAACCATTCTTCATCGCCTAATCAACGCCACCCTCACATAAAGCCAGTCGTATACACAGTTCAAGAGCTTGAAGTATATGTATCTCCATGACCTGATGAACATTAAACTCCCACAACTCCCCAAAATCCAACAACAAACCCAAGTGCCAAACTCACAAAAAATCCCAGTGTTATAAACCCATCATTGTCTTCAACTTGATCCCTAAACACGGGTGGCTCCTCTGGACTTGTTTCCTCTAGAGAGCACAACTGTTGAAGTGGAATTCCACAAAGTAGAGGATTCCCAGCAAAAGCAGAGGGATCATAGTTTTGGAGCCGAGTCCCCATTGGAATTCTTCCAAACAGGTTGTTGTTTGACAGGTCCAACTTACCAAGGCCAGATATTTGAAAAAGACTTGTTGGAATTGTACCATGTATTTGGTTGTTTGACAAATCAAGCGAATCTAATGACTGCAATTTCCCGATCTCTGGAGTTATTTGACCTGTTAAATTGTTTCTCGACAAGTTTAAAGAAACCAACCCAACAAGATCAGCGATTTCATTAGGAATCTCCCCAGTTAATTGATTGCTCGATAGATGAATACTCTTTACAAGCCCCAAAGTACTTTTGTATTTGGACATTATGCCTTTCCATATCAAGGATGTTTCATCTTCATAAACGCTGCGCCAGGAAAACTTGCTGTTGGTACCGCCAAACTCAAGATGGACAGTTAGATTTGAATTTCCTATTTCTGTCAATTTAGTCAAATTGCTGAAGCATTTGGGTATACTTCCAGAGATATTGTTTATCGAGAGATCTAGGATTTGAATCTGTTTTAGATTACATAAGTGCAGGGGAATGTTTCCATAAAAGTGATTAGAACGGAGGATAAGGATAGCCAACTTTGGAAGTTCAACCCCTAACCATTTAGGTAACATTCCTGATAAATTATTGTGTCCAACATCAAAGACTACGAGCCTTGTCCAATTCTTTAAGGATGAAGGCAATTCTCCCACAAATCTATTCTTATTCAGCTTCAATGTATGAATTGAAAATAAAGAGCCCATTGTGGTAGGAATTTTTCCAAAAAGAGCATTGTTACTCAAATCAAGAATGGCTAGATTTGCAAAATTTGTCCAGCAATTAGGAATTTGTATGTGTAAATTGTTGTTTGAGAGATCAAGATAGGTTAAATTACTAACCTTGTCTGGGCACAAGAAAGAAATTAACCCTGAAAACTTATTGTTGGAGAGATCGAGAAACGACACTTTGGAAAGGAATGAAGGGATCGGACCTTCCAATTGGTTCCTACTCAAATTCACTCGAATAATGAAAGATGAGGGAAACTCAAATCCTGAGTCAGGTATTATTCCTCTAATTTGGTTGTTGGAGACATCTATATATAAATAATCTTCTTCTGGATAATGAGACAGCCCCGTCCCAAAACCAACTTGGAAGGATATCAGAAATTCCTGTATTAGAAATTTCAAGAATCTGATAATTTTTTTGAGTTTGAAGCCATTTGGGAAAATGTGGACCCATCTTGCAAGAGCCCAATGCTATGTAATCCAATTGGAAAGGAGGAACCCAATTAGAATTGAAGCTTAAAGCTAGTGAGTTGGAGGACAAATCCAAATGAGTTAATCTGGAGAGATTGGAGAAATGGCTCTCTGAAACCAACCCTTCCAAAGTGTTGTTGTAAAGGAACAATCGTTGCAGATTACATAACCTGGAAAAAGATTTCGGAATCCCTCCTTCAATTTGGTTATCAGAGAGAGATAAAGATACGCAAGAGAGCTCATGTGTCCTAAAACATGGGGAATCGAACCAGTTAATTGGTTGTAAGAGAGTTTGAGAATAACAAGGTTGGTACTGTAGTTTGACAACCATAAAAATATTGAAGAAGTAAGTTGGTTGGAAGAGAGGTCAACATGAGCAAGAGACTTAGAAGAATTTATGTTAAAAAGAGTACTGGAATGAATAAGAGGAGAAGGAAGACCACATCCAGCCAATGACAAGTTTGTAAGTTTAGGGAGCATATTAATTGCTTCCAGCCAGTCATAAGAATTACTGAGATTGCTCCCACTGAGATCCAAATAGGTTAACGATGAAAGGCGAGGGAGCCATGAATTAAGATTTTCAACACTAGCAAAGTCATTGTCGCTGAGATCGAGATATTGCAAGTGGGTAAGGTTTCCAACCTGACTTGATAATCGACCACCAAGAGCTACACGGGGATCAAGTTTGACAACATGGCCGGTATATTTGTCGCAGTAGACTCCTTCCCATATGCAACACTCTTGTTTTTGGGCTTCGCTTCCCCAGGAAGAGAGGAGACTGTAATCAACCACAAGGCCTCGTTTGAAAGCAAGGAGTGCTTCCCTTTCTCTCTGTATGCACCTGATCACCTTGGGCACCTTAGCAATATCCCTGTGGCCAACTACTCCAGAAGAAATATTACTGAAATCCATGGATAGGGAATGGTTGCAACATTGTAACATAATTAGCACAGCAAATATTGAAGCATGAAATAGTTTGAAGCACATAATTCCCTCGCCCTGCATCTCAACAACAATGAAAGAAAAAGTATTTACGCTCTGTTAACGGAAATTAATTTGGAAGAAGATTGCAACACTGCAAGTGTATATATATACAAATATAAAGTTGCCTTTTACAAATAACTCGAGTGGCCACTTATTCACTTGACTTGACTTGTTACTGCACCTTCTAGCTTCTCCAAGGCCAAGGGATGAAAAAGAAAGTTGGGTAATGAAAAAGAAAGTCGGGTGAAATGGGTTTCGATCAGTCAATATCATTACAACTCCACAAGTGGAAGAAATACATGTGGAGAGTCTGGACGTCTGGAAGAAATACATGGAATCCAACCGGAAAGGAGGAATCCAATCAGAACAATCCACAAGTCTAGACGTGTGGAAGAAACAGGTAAAAGGACAAAATATATATCTTGCCCACAAGTCCAGACGTGTGGAAGAAACAGGTAAAATGACACAATATGTATTCTTGTCCACAAGTCTAGACGTGTGGAAGAAACAAGTAAAAGCGACACAATATGTATTATTGTTAGGTGTGACTTGACTTCACTCCACACAAGTGGCCTGGAATTACTACACAACAATCGTGTTAAAGAGCATCCAAGTATATAAAAAAACTAATACATGATGACTCGTCTCTTCAAAACATTGATAACATCTGCAAAGACCGCATCAACAATCAACACAAATCCGCGTTGAGTGTTTGATCCGTTTATGTTTTAGAAGCCTGTTTGTACTCGTAATTCACATTATTTGGACCCGGCTAAAAAACACAAAAACCATCTTTCAACCCTTGAGAGAACAAATTCACATTTATTTTCCATAAGGGTGTGAAAATCTCCTCAAATTTATGTAAAGCAATTAGAAAGGAGGAATCCAATTAGAACCAAAGCTTAAAGTTGGAGGAGAAATCCAGACGTCAATCTGGAGAGTCGCCAGAAATGACATTCTGAAATCCCCCTTCAAATTCGTTAGTTAAATAAAAGAGAGATCTAGATATGCAAGAGAGCTCATGTTTCCAATGACATTGGGAATTAAGCCAGTTAATTAGTTGTCAGAGAGGACAACACGAACAAGAGATTTAGAAGAATTTAAGGTAATTAGAGAAGGAAGACTGCATTCAGCCAATGCCAAGTTCCTAAGACCTGGAGTTTATTAGTTGCTTCCAGCCATTCATAACCATTAATGAGATTGCTCCAAGTCAAGTCCAAACATGTTAAACAAGAAATAAGAGGAAGACATGAATTGGGATTTTCAGCATTCGTAATGTCATTACCTGTAAGATCATAATATGCAACAGTGTTGAGTTTTCCAACCTGACTAGGAAGTTGACCACCAAAAGAAGCATAAGAGAGATTAAGATATCTTAAACTTAAGAGAAGCAATGACATATGGAATTTGGCTCACAATGAAGTTAATATCCCAAAGGTCCAAATACTTCAAATGCTACAACTCAATCAGTTTTAGGACTCGTCGTCTTACTTCACAAATATCACCAACGAACTTCCAGTCTCCTTTCCGATCAAATGAGTGATAGGAGCATATTTATGCAACTTAGTTAACTTATTTTCTTGCATTTTCATAGCTAGTTTCTACTTATTATAGTGTTTTAATCTATTTTCATGTGTTTGTAGGTCCAAATGACAAAGTTGGCAAGAAACTGCAATTTGAAGCATTTTGAAGCAGTTTTGGGCATCATATGGATAGCTTATGAGTGGAGCAAGATGGATTGACGAATTTGAAGACCAAAGACGTCTAGGAATGTGCTAAAGAGTTGAAGAAATAAATCTAAGACAAAGAAGATAAGGAATCAGCTCAAAAGAAGGAGATATTATCCAAAACCTTATCCAACCTTATCTTATCCAAACAAACCTTATCTTATCTTATCATTTCCTAATCTAGCCTTATCTTATCTTATCTTATCCAAATCAGTTTGTGCCTTAATTTCAGCCATTTATAAGGGATAATTATGCATTTAAAATACATATTTCAGATTCTAGAAGCCTTATCCCTATCCTACATTCGTGCCGCACCTTAGCCTTTCTAGAAGCCTTTTTTCCTAGTTGTGCCGCACCCTATATCCTTGTTCATGATGGTTTTTGATGTGTAATCCTTTTTCCCCTTGGTTTCTGCCAAACCCTAACCTTTTCCTCAAGGATTGTGCAATCCTTTTCCCCTTAGAAATTGTGACAAATCCTTCTCCTTGACAGCCTTGTGCCGTGGGTTTGCCCTATAAATATAACTCTTCTGCCGCATAAATCACCACCACCCCCATATTCATTCTACACCACAATTCACGCCAATTTCTCAAAGATTCATCGAGTAACGCAGCAAGGAAGGAAGAAGGAGCTTTGTGCTGTGGCTTGCAATCCAAGGAGGGTTCGAATCTGCCGTTGGAGTTGCTGGGACGTTCCTGGTTCTTTCTATCTTTAAATTTGTTTCAATTTTGGCTTTAATGTTTAATTCAGTTTCTAAAGACATGTGGAACTAATTTCTTTTTAGTTAGAGGTGAATTCAAAGCCATGATTATATGCTTTATATAAATTGATTACATCCGGTTATTGTTTATTGAGTCTTGAATGTGATTTGCTTATCTGAGTTATTAAAACTTGTTTATGTATGTTGATTGAGGATGCATACTTAGTTTGCATGCATGAATTTGATGCTAGAGTATAAGGGTGTTTCACCTAATTGTTATGAACTTATATTCACAAGTAGTAAAAGTCACTAGTCATGATTGTGTTAAGTAAATCCTAGGCAGGAGTATCATGCTTTTCATTATTACGAATGTGTCAATGCTTATGGTTTTCAAAGAACTTAATGACCTTTGATATGTTTTCTATCATGCTTTTCATAGTTAGTGGACTTGAGAAGGATAATTTGGTTATGATGCGTATCCCGTCCAATTCAATGAAATAAGGAAAATCTGATGGTTAATTTGTGCTATCACGGTTAACTTAGGGTGTTGTCATTCATGGTTTAAAGAAGTAATAACTGGAAATTGGTTTGTTTGCATATGTCATGTGTGGAGAAGGACCCTCTAACTAGCCTTTCACCCTTTTCAATTCATCAAATTCGTTTTCTTAAAGTGTTTTATGCAAGGTTTTTGTTTTAAGTTTTAAATTCGTCAAAAACAATCCCCCTTTCATTAAGTCTTGTTAGTTAAGTCATAATCTGTTTTCTTTTAATCTTTTGAGTCAAGTTAAGTTTATTTTCGTCAAAATCACTTGTTAGGTCTAGAATTGAGTTTTTTTTTATTGTTTGTTGTTGTTTGGAGTGTTTTGAATCAGTTTTGAGTCTATAGAGTCTAATTTAATGTTTTTAAGTCTTATTTGTGTTGATTAGCATCATTAGTTAATCTCCAGTCTAGAACAATCCCTCCTAGTTAATCTCCGGTCTAGAACAATCCTTACTTACATGTTTACTACAATTGTCAACAATAGGGTTTAATTTGTGTGTCAAGTTAATTTTCACATCAATGAGTCAACTTGATTCACACAATCCCATCCCAATGTAACATGGCTGGTTCGGTTGTTGCAATGGATGCCTAACCATTTGCGAGAATCTTGCTTGTGGGCTTCTCTTCCCCATGGAGAGAGAAGATTGTAGTCATTCACGAGGCCCTATTTGAAAGCAAGGAGTGCTTCCCTTTCCCTCTCTATGCACCTCATCACCTTGTGGCCAATTACTCATCTTGAAGAAATATACTAAATCATGAAATGAACCCGAAACAGCCTTAAAAGTTCTTTCAGTACCTCAACCAACCTGGGGAAGCTGAAATCACCAAAACTTAAAACCCAGCAAACAAAAGCTTCACAGCTCACAGAAAATCTATTCGCACCAAAAAACCAGTAAAGCACTTTTTCAGTTGACCCCCAAAAAAAAAAAAAAAAAAATCCCTTTAAGCTTCTTATCCAATATTCAAACCCTTATTTCACATTTTCTATGATCATCTTTATTTTTAGGTATTTGGGGAATCCTCCTTAATAGAAACGAAATAGTCTAGTTAAGCTAATTCCACCCACTTCTTGAATCACATAAAGAGGTTCCTATTGGTCAAAGAAATGAGCAACCACGTGGTTGAAGTCTTAATCTTAGCACTTTATCACCTATCTTTGCCAGGGGAGTCCTGTCTTCCATCCCTTCCTACACCAAATTGCCCATGTGCTGTCATTGCCCACAAAGCTTCACTTTTCTGGGGTTCTTTCACTCTACGTCCTTATCTTCCCTTTCTTGATCAGACAGAAAACTTCTCAAGATCCAACCTTTTTGCCTCACAAACCACAGAAATTGAATTCTAAACAAAACCCAAATTGAGAAATTAAGAAACAAAAATGTGAGAGTTGAAAAAATAGCTCAGAAATTCGTGTAGAACAAGAGGAGGAGAAAAGACTCTCTGTGATGCTAATAGTGTTTGTTTTTATTTATTTATTTATAGAAAAGAAAATTTAGCATTAATCTATAAAAAACATACCACGAGTCAAGGGTATTAAATTAAGTAACAATAAAATCATTCTTGTATTAATTTACTCCACAATTTTTCTAAATCCCACCGCCAACGGTGTTGGAGTTTATTGGTGAGATTTGAATTGAATTTTGTTGTGTGGATTGAATGGGAATGGGGCCAACGGCCAACACAAGCCGAGACTTTCAATCATTTGCTAACTTTACGACTAATAAGGTGCACCAGGGTACAATTTAGTATTTAATCTTGATTTTTCCTTACTATAAAATAATATTTAAAAATAATAAAAAATTAAAAAAATTAAAAAAAAGTTTAGATACAAATCATGAGTGAGCATCTTTGTAAAGGTGGTGAAGATATGAATCTTTTGGACACAAAATGTTGAGACACAAATGCATAAACCCATGAGAATAATGTTTGTCTTCAAGATGAGCTGCATGTTAAAATAAATGTATTCATTGTCATTCTTTTTTTAAGCTAACTCCACTCAAAGAACTCTCAATAAAGGTCGTACCCAGTGCACAAGGCTCCCGCTTTACGCAGGGTCTGGGAGAGGTGAATGTCGGCTAGCCTTACCCCCATTTATGGAGAGGCTGCTCCCAAGTCTCGAACTCAAAGAACTCTCAATACTTACATAAAACACAAAAAAAAATCCTGCAAAATTTGTGTACGGGCAATCTACTTCTAGAAACAGATTCCCAATACAAAACAAGGAAAAACACAAATGACGATACAAATAACCCCTGCTCTAGACACTTTCTTTCGGTTTTCTATAAAGATTGTTGTAAATGGCAACGACTAGCATACAAATAAGATAAGAATTGCATTCTTACTACTGAGTTCTGACTTTCTTTAACCTGTACATGAGGGACTCAATAGATTTTTGTAAGCTTGTGCTATCTCTCCGTGCCACTTCCTGAGATGCGAGGTGTAAACTTTGAATCCCGCGACCCAAACTGGCGATTGATGGAGCTGCAGGTAGTGATTCAGCAGCACATTCAATCCCATCTCCATACGCAACCAGACCAGCACAAGTTGCAATACTACATCCAAATGTAGCCCACGGTAGGACACCAATTTTCTGGATATGCCGTTTCCTCATTATTTGATAGAATGCTGTTCTCATGGCTGAAAAGCTAGTCTTCTCTGCAGCAGCTATAACACTATGGGCAGCTGCTCGGATCTTCTCAGCAGAAGCAGTTGCTTTCAGTATAGTTGTTGATTTGACACCTGGAGCTACCACTTTTGAGGGGCCAACAGTTTTACTAAGAGCAAATCCCAATGTCTTATGGGTTTGACTTAGAAAGAGTTTGAGTGAAGCTGGGATTTTAAACGTCACCACTTTCATCAAGGTTGAAGCAGGAACTTTGAGTGTCGCGGCCTTAGAGAGTGAAGATGCTCCTAAAACTGCTGTTGCCCCGGCCCCTACTGCCACCAATGGTTTGTCAGTTAGTAGTCGTTTCCTGTCAGTGTCATTTGACATTTCCCCCTCACCTTCGCAATTATTAACAAGCTCTCCGACCATATCCTTGACCTCTAAAGGGACAGGAGTGTTCCAGTGTTTTCTAAGACCTGCTAAGCCACTAGCATCCACTACTGCCACTATGGTCTTGAACTTCTTTGTTTGGCCACGAAGTGCCTCTACCAGCAGAGCATGTGACTTGTCCTCAACTGGAAGATCAGAAAACTCAACCTTATTTAAATTCGAATCCCTTATTTTATTAAAGGGAAGCCGACCAGCATTATTCAGGGAAATTCTCAGCCCCTCGACTGCAATCCGAAAGGCATAGACTTCAGATATAACACTGGTATCTACAGCTTCACCTCTGTTCACATCGTAAAGCATCTTTTGCGCATAAGCTAAAGCCTTTCCCATTGCTGGGAGATCAGAAAAGATATTATGTAGATCCAAAAGAAATGGATAAATCGACTGAGCAAACTGTGGGGCCTCATAATTGGATTGTAGCTGGATTTCTTTAGGCGCCACCTCAGAAACAGAAGTTGATGGATTTAACCTCGATATTGATAAATCAATATATGGGGATAATAACTTAACCATCTGTGACTGTATATCATTGGTTATGTGTAGCCTCCTCAAACTCGATGAAGCAACTGAACCCACTTTCTGTGGAACCAAACTACTAACTAAACCTTGGAACTTGCTCAGTGTTTCAAGTTCACCCGGGGTATTCTCCGCACCAGAACTTTTTACAAATGGCAATTCAAGCACCAAGAATGATGATCCAACCTCCTGAGCCACCCTCTTGGCTGCCAAAAAATGTCCATGAAAACCAACCCCAAAAATCTTTTGTAAAACCAAGTTTCCTGCAATATCTTCATACCTCTCCTTATTAACCTTCTCCAAAAAACATCGTTTGAGAACTCCTAACGATGAAGTGGGAAATGAGTAGTCAAAACCATCACTCAAGACACTTTCTTCTGATTGAATTTCAGTCAGAGTTGAATGACCCACCTGGGCAACGACAGCATCAGGTCTAATCTCCCTAATTAGACAATCAGCATCCGATGCTGACCACTGTGATAAACTTTGAGCAGAAAGTATGTATATTACAGACTGAGTTTCAGGCTCCCTTACCGCGTAAACAAATTGTTTCGTGCGTTCAGGTATTCGGAGTTTGTGCACTAACTCATTCGATATTGTCAAGTCATCGGATTTCAGTACTGAAAAGGGCCAAATATTTCGTAGGTTCAAAACAAATGCAAGTGCCATAACAATAGCACTAACCCTTCCTAATTTCGGAGACCGCAATCCTCCTAACTCAACTCAATAAGTAACACTCTAATTCTTTCTTAGCCAAAACTAAGCCGAAAATCTTCAAACTCATAACCCCACGTAGAAAATAACTCCAAATCCTCAGTTCCAAACTGAATTTCCAATTCCCACCTAATTTTCCGAGCATCCAAACAGAGCACACCCAAAAAACCCAAACCACGCAGAATTCAATACGATTCGATATTACCCAGACGAGGGAGTTCAATGAACATTACAGGAACATTTCAATGCGATATCAAAAGAACCCTAAACAGAAAAATCAAAATTATCTCATTAATTACCAGAATCAAAAAGTACTTTTTCCAGAAATCGGAAGTTAATTCGTCCTCCTTATAAGTACCTGATTAATGGGTCGATTTCTGTATCAGAAACTTTATTCTTTCTCTTTGGATGCCAATCATCCGCAACGCCAGGACTTCGGAGATCAGATACTTGCACCTGAGGCAGCTCGGCGTAGCTGAAAACAACAAAAACTGCAGGACCCAGATTCCAAAAACCCGAAACCCAGAAATTAAAATCCTCCCGATTGACCCATATTAACAATCTTTCTTCTGGGTTCTCTACTCTGCGGATTGAGCCAATCCAACATCCCTCTCTAGCTCTGACGGAAGCCCTTGAAATAGCTCAGAACCTTGGGGAGTGAACGAAAGAATCTTGAAGGTTGTGGTATTTTCGTAATATAATTTTACGATTCATGAGTTCACTTACGGCCCAAAACTAAAAATACTTTTTTAGGGCCATGAACTGTACTTTTATTTGGGCCACAAAACAAAGCCCGTAATACGCAACCGCAAATTGACTTGTCAACCGTTAAGGTTTCTAATCCGAACTGAAAAACAAGTGCTCATCTACTACAGTAGTCGAGATGAGTGTTGTTCTTACACTACGGTGTGGGTTTAAATCATGTCAGCTCCCTAATCTAATATCTAATATAATCAATCTATCATTTGACCCAAAAAAAAAATCCGAACTAAAAAATTTTTAATCTGAAAATTTGAAAAACTAGAATAGCAATTGGAATTAATTTATTTTGATTAAAAAATTCTGAAAATTCCAAATTATTATGGTTATTTACTTTTTTTTGTTGATATTATAGTTATTTACTAAAATTATTTACTCTGTAATCAACTTTTGTATTTTGTTGTTAGTTAATACATTTTACGGTATACATTTTGCTCATTGTCAAACACTTGAATATTAAAAAGAATAAATATAGATAAACGTATATCAAGTTCGAGAATATTCCAAAACTTGTAAATTATGTGAAATTACAAATTATGTTATAGATAAACGTATATCAAGTTGGACAGTATTCAAAAACTTGTAAATTATATTAAATTCCACATTATATTTCAAGTTTTTTTAATTAACTTTGATTTTGAAAATTATAAATATTGTAATTTAGAAAATTGTGATTGGATTCGATTCAATTCCAAAAATTTTGAATGAAAATTGAATTTTTTTTTCTTTTTTTTTTTAAAATCATCTCCTAATTCCTAAGTAGGATGGATGAGGACTAAAGTGAAGAACCACAAACATTAGCGGGCAAACTTGAAACTGAATTTTTCGTTAAAGTGGGAAGTTGGCCATCTCATCACTCATCCACGGCGCATTTCAAAAGTAAACAAATAAGAACTACCATGGATCACCACTTCAGGTTAACAAGAACAAGCTTTTCTGTGAACCCTTCTGAGAAAAGTTTGGATAATCTTGCAAAACTTCCAATGTCCTTAAAAGAATCCTCTAATGTCCTAGTGGATAGAGTGTTGCGTTTCTACCCATGCATCTAGAGTTCGAAACTCTTCCCTCCTTTAAATTATTGTAATAGTTTCGAAATCTCCAATTTTGCCCTATTTATAGTGAATAACTTAAAAAATGGGGTAAATAAGCGGTATGTAGCTTGAGTAGTTAAGGACATTTATCTCTACATGACCTACACATGAGGTCCTTTGTTCGATTTCTCCTTCCCTCAGTGTCGCTTCTTGTGATGAAAAATGAATTGAGAAAGGAATCTCATACTTTATACTTGTTTCCAAATGTTCCAAGTGTTCTATTACCATGAAATTACAACTACTAGTAAGGGCATTTTGGAAAGCTTGAACTCGATACGCAAAAGTATGCCCTAATTATTAAGGCAATCAACCATTTACTACGAGATCAAAAAAAAAAAAAAAAATCAACCATTTACTTTTTCTGTTTATTTTCCATAAGAGTAGGTTCGTATCCCTCTTTCATTTGAACCATTAGAGACCTAACCGAAAATATAAACAAGTAACATAACTAAATTGGGATAAAATAATCCAATCTAATGATTGTTATGAAATGAAAATCTTGTTTGATTTCGGAGAATGTGTCAATCAGAGAAGTTAAACCAATGATTGTTATGAAATGAAATCTTATTTTGTCTGATTTCATAGAAACAAACCAACAAATGAGATTGAGATAAAATAATCAAAACCAACGATTATTATGAAACGAAATCTTATCTTGTCTGATTTCATAGAAACAAACCAACGGATGAGATTGAGATAAGAGAACCTACAACGGTGCATAAGTGATAAAATCTAACTTTGTCAGAAATTGAATATTTTTATGTTAAAAAGTTTATAAATTAAAATTTAAGATAACACGTCCAAAAATCAAGTTTAGAGAAGTTAAGACAATAATAAATTTACCACGTAATCAAATTACTACATAATAAAATATATAGTCCCATATAAAGCCATAAAGATATATTAGCCCCTTATTGGGAGATATTATTTTTTAATCTCCAAAGATTATTCGAAGCTCTAAATTAGGTTATGTCTATCACTTTTCTAACCTCATATAGAGTCCCTCGTTGGGAATGCTCTTATTGTCTAAATATAGACACTAGGTAAAACATTAAAAGGACATGGTATAAATAGCAAGTACAACTTCCTAGTCAAAACCAACATCTGTTTCATTCTTTAAAATATTACACAAATAATTCTTTTGTTCTATTTGTTTCTTTTTAAATTCAGCAAACATCCACAAGTTATTCTTCAACAACTATAGGTTGAGGGTAGCTCCACCAACCAACATAATCTTTGCCTAGGTCATTATCCCTCTCAAGTATTCCTTCTCTCATTTTGTTTGGAAGAAGGCTCATTTTGTTTGGAAGAAGGGTTGATGTTCAAGAAAGTAACTTATTATTTTAGAAATTGAACCATCGTATTAATAAATCTAATTACATATCCTTAGGGTAGGAAATTTGAACCTACAAGACATGTAGGATGTGGGAAAATATCAATCTACTTTGAAAAGGAACTGTTTAAAATTCTTATCCAAATCTTTCTTCTACAAACATTTCTTTGGTTGGTGTATTTGATGCGTTGGCGGATATTTTTACTCATGTTCACTGCTAAGCCAATGGTATTTCTCATTGCCTTGTTTGTTACACACTTTATCTTGACAATTTTTGCTCTTGGTTTGAGAAACCTTCTGCCTTTATTCTTGATTTGATATTTGAGGGTTGTAATAAGTAGTTTGTTGGCTTCTCTTTGACTCACGTTTGATGCTTCGTTGTATTATTCGTCTTCCATCTTCAATGAAATTGATCATTTATTTCAAAACATATTATTTTCTCGACTGATTAGACAATATTCTAAACTACTTTAATTTACAATAAGAAGAAGATTTAGATATGAGTGCAAGAGTGAACACATTAATCTAACTATGTACTTTAACCCATGTCATGGAAAACCTACAAATTTGCAAGTATTTATCAACATTATATATTGCCATATAAACAAGGTGCCAATAAAGAGAGAACCCTAGCGCCGCTCCCTTACTCCCAAAGTCAAGAATCCCCAAATCCAATCTTATTATAGTTGCTGACCCTTCCTGTTGGATGTTGGATGGGGTCGATGGCAACCCGATCTCCTTTTTCTCTAATCCCTTCTCCTTCTTTCTTAACCCCACCTTCTTCATTTTCCTTTTTTTTTCTTTGGCCCTTGATGTCTCATTGTTTTGCTATGAGCTTGTCTTATTTTTATTGATTTTTTTCTTTCTTAATTGTTGGCAAATCTTATCTCATATCAAAGTTTCATGCCTTTTCTTTCCAAATTGTTGTTTCTACCGGTGAGCTACTGCCCACCTGGTTCAACAATTCAGTTCTTCGAGTTCCGTTCATGGATTTCGGTTGGAGGCGTGCTTTGAGTTTTGATAGCTACTAAAGTGCTCACATTATTTGGTGGATTATGGGAAGCTTTTAGTGCGGTGGCTTGCCCACCCTATTTTCAATTCATCCTTTCAGTTTGTTGGTTCTTTTTCTTAGTGGTGGCATCTCGACAATGGTGGTGTGTCTATTTGGTGGAGGATGCTAGTTCTCGTTTCCAAATCTAGGTTTAGCGGCTTAGGCATTATTATGGGCTCGCTTTTTTGGGGCTTGTTTTCTTATTTTACTTTTGTAGTGGGTTATACTTTTACTTTAGTGTTGTGGATTGTCTTTAAACTTGCCTCACTTTGTATTAGTATATTTTATTTTGGGTAAAAGACTGTTTACCACCCTCATGTTTCGTGGTTTTCAACATTTAGTACATCAAGTTTTTTTCGTCCCAGAGTCATACCTAAAGTGTAAATTTTGAGACAGTCTCATACATCTGTTAGTCAAACTGTTAGTTCTCCCGTTAAGTGATGACGTGGCGTTCTAATTGGACGCCACGTGTCATTAAAAAAATAAAAAATTTATTTAAATAAAAATAATATTAAAAAATATTTAAATAAATATTAAAATAATAATAAAAAAAAAGAAAATTTCTTCTTCTCTTCTTCTTCTTCTTTTTTTTTTTTTTTCTTCTTCTTCTTCTTCTGGGTTCGGTTTCTTTTTTTTTTTTTTTTTTTTTTTTTCCTTCTTCCTCCTCCTCCTCCTTCTTCTTCCTTCTCCTTCCTCCTCCTTCTTCTTCTCCTTCTTCTTCTTCTTCTGGGTTCGGTTTCTCTCTTTTCTTTTTTTTTCTTCTTCTTCTTCTTCCTCCTCTTTCTCCTTCTTCTTCCTTCTCTTTCCTCCTCCTTCTTCTTCTCCTTCTTCTTCTTCTGGGTTCGGTTTCTCTTCCTTTTTTTTTTTCCTTCTTCCTCCTCCTTCTTCTTCTTCCTTCTCCTTCCTCCTCATTCTTCTTCTCCTTCTTCTTCCTTCTTCTTCCTCTTCTTTTCTGGGTTCGATTTTTTTTTTTTTTTTTCTGTTTTTTTCCTTCTCCTCCTTCCTTCTTAAGAAGGATCCTTCCTTCTTAAGAAGGAAGAAGAAGGAGAAGAAGAATGAGGAGGAAGGAGAAGGAAGAAGAAGAAGGAGGAGGAAGGAGAAGGAAGAAGAAGAAGGAGGAAGGAGAAGGAAGAAGAAGGAGAGAAGGAGAAGGAAAAAAAAAAAAGAAAAAAAAAAAAAAAAGAAAAGAGAGAACCGAACCCAGAAGAAGAAGAAGAAGAAGAAAAAAAAAAAAAGAAGAAGAAGAAGAGAAGAAGGAAAAAAAAAAATTTTATTATTTAAATATTTATTTAAATATTTTTTAATATTATTTTTATTTAAATAATTTTTTTATTTTTTTAATGACACGTGGCGTCCAATCAGGGCGCCACGTCATCACTTAACGGGAGAACTAACAGTTTGACTAACAGATGTACGAGACTGTCCCAAAATT